TTAAAACCCCTTCCTTCAGGATAAAATAGTAATTTCTCAAGAGGCCTTCCAGGCCTTTTGTGATTTAGGCCTGCCTACCACTGTCTGCCTCATCCCTGCTGTCGCAATCCACATTCTGGCCTCAGCCATACTCAGTAGTCAGTTACACAACCACCGTGCTCCCTGCCTCAGGCCTTGGCACTTGCCACCCCTTCCTCCTAGCCTACCTTCCCCTACTTTCCAGGCTGGCGGTTTCCCCTGCCACCAATTAGAGTGCGCCCCCTACCCATATGTCTTATTCACTTTGAGCTCTCAGTGCCCACCGGTGCCTGGCATATGGTCGGTGTTTAATCGTTAATTGGGGTTTGGGACATGATCTTCTTCTTGGTGTAAGTGATGCTACTTATTCCTGTTGTCCTGGCAGGTCTTTGTCTTTCATGTTGGTGACAAAACTTGGAAATCTTACGACTGGTCACAGATTACAACGGTGGTACTTTTTAACAATTATGACCCAGAACTGATGTGCTATGCTCACTCCAAAGGGGCCAGAGTAGTGCTAAAAGGTGAGTGACAGTTTTTTCCAGGTGTGTCCAGACAATTGGTAAGTGTACTTGCATCATTTGCTATTCTGACTATCCAAAAAATTCCCTTTTTCACGTTCATCTGGTATATTTTTAAGATTTGAAAGTTAATGTTGAAGGCTGTTTATTTCACAGATACAGATAAACCAGTGCATGGTTTTGAGCAAAACGTGACTCCTAATTAGCATGATGACCTTTAGCTTATCATAGTCCACAATTTCTGTTTCTAATTTGAGAATGATTTGATACTAATTATTTATAATGGTTATTTTGGAGATTAATGAGTAATAGCTTTTTATTATTTTGCTATATTACTTCTCCATTTGAAAAACTTAAATTGGGGCTTAGTATTCCAAAATAATGAGATATTTTAAGGACAATTTGATCTCCTGGGATGGGTTTGTGAAGTAAATGTCTTAAACTGTGAACAGCATATATGTACAGAAGAAGTGTATTTCTTCCACAGGAGATGTGTCGGTAAAGGCGATCATCAATCCCACTTTCAGAGCATCCTGGATAGCTCAACAAGTTGACTTGTCCAAAAGACAGTATATGGATGGAATTAATATAGACATAGAGCAAGAAATGTCAAGTTCATCACCTGAACACAATGCATTAACTGCTTTAGTCAAAGAAACTGTAGATGCTTTCCATCGTGAAATTGAGGGATCACAGGTAAAAATTCATTTGATATTTTTTTGAAACTCTTAAATTTCCCTATCAAAATGTATGCATAAAGGTATAACTAACATAATCTCAGTTTTATAGTAATTGAGTAGGAAAGAATTTCAGTACATATGTCCTAAAATATTTCTGGAGCTTTTGAGATTTTATTAAAGAGGTTTTATAGAACTTGTAGGTGCTTAATCTGTTCTCTATGGACATCAAGATACAACATGGAGAGTCCCACCTTTTAGATTTGCTTCATGGTTAGAAATATTTGATAGGGAAAGGTATCACAAGAATCAGGAAGGGCTCGGCTGTCCAGGCCCTGTTTTCACCAATACAGAGCAGGGAGAGCTCTCCTTAAAAGCAGGGGCAGTTCTGGGGAAGAGTCGCAGATGCTCCAGAAACTCTGAATTACTGTAAAGCCCCTGAGGCCCACTAAGGAGCAAAAGACTTGCTCCATAGAACTAGTCAGAACTATGAGAAAAGGCGGTGCGTTTCCCCACTGCCAGGGGGAGGGTGATGAGAGCAGATCACAGCACAAGGCATCCTGCCAGGCAGTGTATGGGTAACAAAGGAGAATGTGCCCCAGGTAAGTGATGCTCAAACCTGGCCAAGATATACGAAGATAAGAAGGAGTCTTAGAAAAAGTACACACACACACACACACACACTGGAACACATTCCCAGAGATTATTATTTAGAAGGTTTAGGTAAGCACACAGTCCATATTTTTAAAAAGTTTCATAGGTGACTTCATTCTTCCCTTGCCTTGTCTTCATCTCTGAGTTCTTGTTCATAAAGATCCTCCCCTCTCTGCTTTCCAAAAATCAAATCTTCATCATTCTTTATGGTCCAGACCAAATCTCACCTTACACCATTAGCACTTTAGTGTGGCCTAATGAGCAATTTATTTCTCTTCAATTAAATTTTAACCTCCATGTGGGCCATTAATTATTCCAATAATATCCACGATAATACTTAGCCAAGTGCTAAGCACAGAAAGCAAATCAATAAATCTTAATTGATTAAAATGCTATCAGAACATTTCAGGACTAAAAAAGGAAGAGAAATAAGAGAATAATATACATCGCCTTTCTTAAAGCACCTAATGATTTGCTAAATTAAATAAAAAGACGGAAAAAAAGCTTATCTGGAACTAAATTACGTAAGCTAATTTAGTATGCGTTCTCAACTGAAGTCTTAAGAAGAATGAGAGAAAAAAGCATTTTTAAAGAGAAATATTTATGTTACATTACATTATATTACATTATATTATATATGGAATACTATGTTCTCTATGGAGCACTTAGGTAAAGAAACCAGGGTCAGGCTAATTTAAATTTTTCCTAAATGGACCTTTTATAAACCTTGGGACACATACAGGTTCGAAATGTGTCTGGAATTTATCAAAATGTCCTGTACAAACCTCGCTACAGCATCATTACATTAAAGACTATTATTTAAAAAAAAAAGTTTCATAGGCAATTATGGTTAAGAACTACTAGGCTAGAAGATTCTGGACCAAATAGAGACATAGGAGGCTCCTGAAATTCCCTCTTCCATTGATGCACAGAATGTACAGCTACAAATGGAGCAATCTCCTCAGAGTGAAATCCAGAATCCAGCTGAGTGACTCTTACACATCAGGTGACTAAGGAAATGACCACATCAAAATGAGTAGGAAAGGCCTACCGGGACATGCTCTCCCAGTAAACCCCATTCCTGACACAGCACCATATGATCATGGGGAACCCCCAACTCCCAGCTTCTCCCTGAGGAGCAAATGCTTTGGAATGCACATTTATTGCCCCATCTTTTAATTAAGGCTCCCACCTGAGGGATGGGCCACCAAAACACCTTGCTCTGAATGCCAACAGGACTTGCATTCCTAGTCTCACAGGACCTGAGCAAACAATGAAGAGGTTTCCCAGGCATGTGAGCACTAGCAGTGGGTGTCCTCCCAGGGCTCAGCTCAGAAGACACAGGAGAAACACCCATCTCCCAGGCTTTTTCTGGAGGAGTTTGATTGCATACTTCCCAAGCTGCTGCCTGAGGTTCTGGCTTCCAATCAGCACAGATGAGGTAGTGACTGCAACCCTCCCCAGGCCCCAGAGAGCCAGCCAGTGGGCACTCCCCCCGCTTCTCCCTATGGCTCCAACAGTAAATCCAGGTCACTAGGTTACTGAAAGGTACTTGTCCACACATTTAGCATCCCAACCTTTATGGCTGCCATTCTAGGGACAGACCCCCAAATCACCCAGCTCTCCTAGCTAGCAAGAATTATAGCACACAAAGAAGCAGTTTTACAATGGGGGCAGGAACCCCCATTATACACTTAGGGTCAGCCCAGAGGGAGCAAGAAAAAACATCCATCTCCTAGGAAAGGGTTTAACTGCAGACTTCACCAGCTGCCTAAAGGTGCAGCTTCTAACCAGCCTGCATCTAGGTGCTCACTGTGATTCTCCTCTTTGGGACACTGTTGGGTCTTAGAGCACCATCAACTACTGGGAGTGATAGAACAGACAGCAAGTTGGACAATCACAAAGGTTTGAGCGGGAACCAGGAGCTCAGGCCAGGCTGACTGACAAGTTTCATCTCTTACAAGAGACTAGTCTATCAAGAGTGGATGGAACACATGGCTCTTCCTTTTTTTTTTTTTTAAGCTGAGCCATCCTGCCACCTGTTGGCAGCTCAGCAGCAGCTCAGCTCGGCGGGGCATCAAACTGCTGTTGCTCAGAGCTCATACTCTTGAACGAACTCTTAACCAACTGAGCCACTCGGCCAGCCCAGCTCTTCATTTTCTTCAAAGAATATGTTGCAAACCAAAGAATCAGATAAAACCTGAATGCTAGTTAAATGATTTACTTAATGGAGATTTCAAAATAATGATCATAAAATTCTCACCGAGGTCAGGAAAGCAATGCATGAATAGCATGAGAGTTTTATCAAAGAGGTAGAAAACATTAAGAATAAGCAAACAGAAGTCATAGAGCTGAATGGTACAATGACTGAACTGAAAGATTCAGCAGAAGTTTCAACAGTAGACTAAATCAAGCAAAAGAAAGGATCAGCCCACTCAAAGCCACTGGAACTCACCTAATCAGAGTAATAAAAAAATATATTTTTAAAGTTAAGATAGCTTAAGAGACATATGAGACACATGAAGAGGACTAATTTACGTCTTTTCCTAGAAGGAGAAGAGAGAGAGAAGGGGGCAGAAAATTTATTTAAAGAAGTAAGGCTAGAAATTCCCTAGCCTGGGGAAAGAAAGAGACATCCAGATTCAGGAAGTCCCCAGAGACCCACACCAAGACACATTATTATTAAATTGTCAAAAGCTGAAGACAAAAAAGAATCTTAAAAGCAGCAAGTGAAAAGCAACTTATGTACAAGGGAACCCGCCCCCATAAGACAAGCAGTGGACTTTTCAGCATAAACCTTGCAGGCCAGAAGGGAGTGGGTTGAGATCCTCAAAACTCTAAAAGAAAGACATGGCCAAGCAAGAATACTCCTACCTGGTAAAACTGTCTTTCAGAGTTGAAGGAGAGATAAAGAGTTTTTCAGACAGATGAAAGTGGAAGGAGTTCATCACCACTAGACCTGCCTTACAAGTAATGTTAAAGGGACTTCTTCCAGCTGAAACAAAAGGATGCTAATTAGTAACATAAAAACATATGAAACTATACAAGTCATGGGTAAAGGTAAAATATAAAGTTAAATATATACTATATTCAGAATATTATAATAGTTGTGGATAAATCACTTATATCTCTAGTATAGAGGTTAAAAGACAAGTATTAGAAACAACTAGAACTACAATAATTTGTTAACAGATACACTATTTAAAAAAGATATTTATTGTGACATCAAAAACATAAAATGTGGGAGATAAATAAATGTAGAGCTTTTGTATGCATTTCAAGTTGTTCTAAATATTTTAAAAACTGTTGTATTTGAATTCTTCTGGTATGTTTTTACTTTCCACGTACTTACAGGTCTCATCACACCCTACTGTCATTACACCTATTTCTTCCATCAGCTGAGTTACTGTCTAGCCTCTGAAGACATTTGAGCTTAAAATCCCTCTTCTACACAGCACTCTGCTCCTGGTCAGTGTATACATCCAAATATGTTGGGCCCAAATATATGTCCCTTATCCAAATATACTCTTATGTCTAAAACATTGTCCAAGTATACAAGGCATGACAATTAAGTTCGCGAACTTGTTGCAACGATGTTGCTAACCTTTTTTATCAGAGCGATTATGCATTATGAATTTGTACCAACTGGATAAACAGTTAACCAAGTTTACAATTTGGAAGTGCTGAAAAGGCTGCGTGAAAAAGTTAGACCACCTGAACTTTTCGCCAGCACTTATGGCTCTTGCATCATGACAATGCACCAGCTCACAGGGCACTGTCTGTGAGGGAAATTTTAGCCAGTAAACAAATAACTGTATTGGAACACCCTCCCTACTCACCTGATCTGGCCCCCAATGACTTCTTTCTTTACCCGAAAATACAGGAAATATTGAAAGGAAGACATTTTGATGACATTCAGGCCATCAAGGGTAATAAGACGACAGCTCTGATGGTCATTCCAGAAAAAGAGTTCCAANAACAAATAACTGTATTGGAACACCCTCCCTACTCACCTGATCTGGCCCCCAATGACTTCTTTCTTTACCTGAAGATAAAGGAAATATTGAAAGGAAGACCCTTTGCTGACATTCAGTACATCAAGGGTAATACTACGAAAGCTCTGATGGCCATTCCAGAAAAAGAGTTCCAAAATTGCTTTGAAGGGTGGACTAGGTGCTGGCGCAAGTGCATAGCTTCCCAAAGGGAAAGTGACCGGAGTGATATTCAGCAATGAGGTATGTAGTACCTTTTCTAGGATGAGTTCGTGAACTTAATTGACTGACCTGACCTTGTATGTCTGGGTCAGCCCATGTCGGCAAAAAACATATTTCTTAGAACTCTTCTAGTTTTAGTTCTATATGTTCAAACCCTACATTTATATATGTAAGCCGTTCTGTTTTCTTGGACAGCATGATGCAAGAGAATAATGTAATCAACAAAAATGTCTGACAAAATATGCATATTTGATCATGTTATATAAAATAGTGTGTGTTTTTCCACAGGTAACCTTTGATTTTAATTGGACTCCAAAGTACACAGGCAGGCGCTATAATTATTTTGAAATTGCAAATGCTTGTGACTTTGTCTTTGTGATGTCATACGATGAACATAGTCTGGTCTGGGCAGACTGTATTGCAGGAAGCAATGCTCCTTATACTGACACATTAACTGGTAAGAATCCACGAAATGATCACTTATTGGTAATATTAATTCCATAATCTCAAACATTAAAATATATTTTAGTATTTCTAAATCATTTGTATACCTTTTCCATTTGTAAAGCTTTCTTAAAACATATAAAAAGCACTTGATATGTAGAGCTTTAAAGTTTACAAAATATTTCACATAATTATTCTAAAAATCTTGTGAGATAGGTATATTATTAGTGCTCGATTATCGGTGAGATAAAGGATATTAAGTTCTTGTGCTGCACAGCCATTAAGTATTACATAGTTGGGACAAAAGCAGATGTTCTAACTTCAAGACTAGCTCTTGTCACAGTATTTCATGAAGAAGATATTTGCTTATCTAGGATCTGGCAGAGTATTTTTGTTGAAATAACCAATATTATATTATTTAAAAGCAAAGATAGTTATGATGTGAATATCTACTATATATTATTGATGAGATTGGCTTTATCTTATTTGGCATTTACTCTTAGTACGCATGCTACATTACAAATTACAGGCATACCTCTGAGATATTGTGGGTTCAGTTCTAGACCACTACAAATAAGTGAGTCGTAATCTTTTTGCTGGTGGAGAGCCTGTCTTCAACATGTAAAACATGCAATATTTCTGAAGTGCAATAAAGCGGGTATGCCTGTATAGCATTAGGATTAAGAGTACTTCTGATGTCATTCATATGATGTGGCATTGGCGCTATCCTTTCCAAAGTTTCGACTAGTTTGTATCACATCAGCCTATTGAATAAAAAGTTGTTTACTGTCTTTTGCACTCAAGTGAAATTTTCTGGGATAGTTGGCATTAAGTGTTGATTGGTTGATAAATAAAAAATCTATTCTTTTTCATTTAGAGGCAAAATCTTAGGACCTGGCCTCTTTTTATCATGTTCTAATTGTTTGGACCGATAGTCTAATCACAAACACATACTATTAAAAATTTGAAACAATAATTTAATTCTGTTACAATTAAAAAGTCATTATTTAGTCCAGTGCTCCCAAACTGTGTTTCTTGAAAGAGATAATAATTTTGTTCTTTCAAGAAAATGTTCATTATCAAATATGTTTGGGAAATGATACATACCCCACCCTTCTCTTGGATATTTAATGGTGCACAGAAACTTTAAAGGCTCTGAAAAGTAGCAAATTTACTTAACATTCTAGATTGTCTTGGAACTTCTCTTGGTGGAAAAACATATTTTGTAGCATTGAGCAAGAAAGGAATTTATAGTTCTAGAAATCTGTTCATATTTTTCTTTGTTTCTAATAACTACAGAGTAGGTAGTACAGAGGATCTTATCCCTGTAATTCATACTTATAGGATATTTGTAAAACATGAAACACTTGTGCTTTCTATAAGAAATTCTGGGATCATTCCACACAGAAAATTTCAAGACTTATTTTTGAAATTTTAAAATCTAGAGTATCAAATATATCATGTCTTAGCAGTTAATAGACACAATTAGCATGCCTTTCTGAAATGCGTTATTCTTCCTAGGAATGAACTTTGTGATTTTTTGCTCAGGTTAATCTTAACTGTTTTGAATGTTCTTATTATTCAAAAGAAATGGTTTAGAAAGTGATTTAGAATTTAAAGTTCTTAAGGGATGACTTTTATAATATCACATTAGAGAAGCACTGTGTTAGTATTTTGCATAAACATATCATCTTTACAGTCTTAGATCCTGAGTGGTTGCATGGCTTGTATAAACACATAAGTAGACATTTGAAGAAAAAAATATGCTTTTTCTGTCTGTCTTTGGTTAGCATATGATGACTACATCAAGATGGGCATTAGCCCTAAGAAACTTGTAATGGGTGTTCCCTGGTACGGTTATGATTACACCTGCCTGACTTTATCGGAGGTAAGAACAGCTCATTTCATATTATTTTTTTCCTTTCTTTTGTATTTTTAAAGCTTGTTTTGTTCATATACATAAACTCTAGAATTTATAAACTTAAAATTTGTAAACTTTAGAATTTCTGAAATATAGATTGAGACTAAAAAGTAAAGATGTTATTATTAATTGTTTAATCTCATGAAACTTTCTGAATGTTATATATTTCATTTAATAATAAAATTTAATGTTCATACTGTATAGTCAGAATATCTATTTATATTATATATTTTATTTCTAATAAATTCTTTTGACTATATAGTCTGATTTAGCTCTTAACATATGTTTAGTTGATAATGTATAACACAAACATTTTTGTATTTCTAGGCTAATGTTTGTACCACTGCAAAACCCCCTTACAAGAAGGGTCCTTGTGTGGGTGCTAAAAGTTATCAGGTGCCCTATAAAATAATCATGAAGCAAGTAAACAGTTCTATTTCTGGAATCCAGTGGGATAAAGATCAGAAGGCTCCTTATTATAACTATAAAGTAAGACTTTTCACAAGTTATGAACATTTATTCTATCAGTTTTCATAATTGCATATTCTCAGAATTATATATTTGGTATCAAGAATTTCTATTAGTTTTCATTTAGGGCACAATATACAAACTTCTTTTTACATGAGTAAACTTGTGTTTGAATCTGTGCAATCAGGAACGTTACTTCCCTGGTGGGCAACTCAGGTTGTGCTCATAGTGGAACTGCTATACATGGCAGTTCCTATAAATAATGTAAAAAAAAAACATGCATATCACAAACAGGATTTCCTTAATACTCGACAAATATGTAGGATTGACTGTGTCTTCTAAAAGAGCTCTGGACCAAAATAGGCTGCCAGCTCTGAAAGCCTCCATTTCAAAGTGGATTAAGACTCTGCTGAGGCTGTTGTATAGAGAGGAATGAGGCTGAGAACAAGAGATGTGCCATAATGGACTGTACAATGGAAAATGGCACCATTTCTAATTCAATTCACAATTCAGTCAAACTACGTGACATTAGACAAATTATAAACAATGTTAAAATTAGAGACTGAAACATATTACAGAGACTTGACTAAATGGAGTGAATGATGAGCATTTCTGTCAGGTACTGTTTGATGAATAGGAATTGCCATACCAAAAGGCAAGAGAAAAGTTATATTTTTCATAATTTACCTTTAGCATAATAAAAACTTTCCACACCTTGAAAACCTAAATGCAAACCATCTTTGAATTGACTTTGGATTATATCACTGTAAAAGGAGACTTAAAATGATATGATGTAAGCTAATTCTAGTAAGAATTTATATATTTTTACTAATGGTTTGCTACTCTTCTATGACTGCAAACATACACATTTAATAAATTATCATTGATATACATCTATATATGTCTGTATATAAATTATTTAGAAAGCTTTACTGTAGAGCTTTCTTTACTTTAGAATCTAAAGTATATACCTATTTATTAAACTACAGCTCACTGTAACCCTATCTTTGCCCAACAGTATTTATAGAACTCTTTTCTGGGAACTGTTAATATTACACACATACACACACACAAATATACACACATATGCCATGGCCAAGTACATTTTGAAAACAATGCATACATACTGTATGTCCCTCTTAGAGATTTATAATGAACAACATTATATTAAAGGATTTGAAAAGTGCTGCAGTACATAAGCCGTTTAATTGTATAACGTGGAACCCTGTTCCCCAGCGCTCTTAGAAACATGTAGGAGGAAGAGTGTTTCATGGATATCAGTTTGGTAAAGTCTGTGTGTAACCAATTATACATAGCTTAGAAATATTTAATATAGAATAATAGTTTACATTGTGATGTAGTATTTTTTGAATCCCTGACTTATTTTTTCCTTAATGAGTAAGAAGACACATTCTTTCAGGTCTTAGAATTCAGGAAACATTTTCATGAGCCCTGAAGGCCATTCATTCAATGGCACTTTAGACAATAATCTACTTATAACTCTTTTGTGCCTCTTTTTATTCATTGTAAAATTCTTAGCAACTAAAATCAAGTTTCTGGTGTGATTGAAGAGAAACATTCTGCCTTCTTATGCTGTCTCAGCAACAGCAGCTTCATCTTGTGCTTTCTATTCTTGAAGGCTTTTATACCGTCACCATGCATCTATCAATCTTACATATACTCAGTGATTTATGCTTTGATCGTGCACTATTTTGAGGCATTTGAAATTTCTTAACAGTATTAAAAGGCTCAAAGTACTAGCTAATAAGATGACAAAATTGAAAAGTGTATGTATTTGAGTTTGCTCTTAAATCATCAAAAATAAATATTTGTATATTTAGGTACAGGTTCTAGCAGTTGCCTTTTCACGGTGAATTACAATTATTACTAGAGCACGCATGACTTTTTCTAGTTCTACGTATTATTTTAAAGAACGGAATGTAAGATATAGAATAAGACATGCTTGTATGTAATAAGTCTACTGAAATATGCCACAGCTTATTCATTCACCAAGTGACTGTTGTCCTTCAAAGCCGTCCTTTCAGGAGATGCTTCTGATCCCAGTGGTGCTACCATACAAACAATGTTACTGGTATTGATAAGAAATTTCCCAGATGTATATAATACACAGCAATTATATTTAATTAATTACAGGTCATTCTATTTTTTGCCTCCTATTTTTTCCCCTCCTCTACCTGTTTGTCTAGATTTGCTCCTTTCCTCTTTCCTTTATTCCTTATCCCATAGCTTCTATATCTTCTAAGAGAGACTGGGTTATTACTAGAGGCAGGTGTTGTTGAGGAGGAGGACTTACAGGGTGGAAGGTGAGCCTAAGACCACTTTCAAGTTTATGGGTTCATCAGCTCTGAGCTTAAGGCACCATGGAGTCCAGATCTGACAGGCTCTTAGAATCAATACTGTAAGACCAAGAAAAGGAGGTAATTTCCTCGTCTCTTGCCATTCATTACCTTTTGGTTTGACTGTTTCATCATAAACAAAAGCGTGTGTTGAGCTCCTAACCAAGCATATTTCCAGGAACTGTAAGGAATACAAACTGTGTATATGCTGGGACCACAGGACCAGAGCAGTGGTCCTCCTTAACCTTGGCTGCACATCAGATTGCCTAGTAGAACATAAAACACAAAACAAACATGTTCTAGCATTGACCCTGGAAGGTTTTGATTCAGTAGGTTTCATGTGGTATGGGTCCCAGGAATCTGTATTTTTCAAAAGCTTCACAAATGACTCAGATGTACATCCTGGTTGATAATCATGAGATCAGAGAAGGAATGAATCTTAGGGCAGGAGAAGGACCTCAAATGGAATATATTAGGAGGCTCATTTGTGTAATCTCTGCTGTTGTAAAAGTGCCACAAGTGATGCTATCTAAAAAGTATCGCATGTAGAACCATGGAATCCTAGAACTGGAAAGTATTCTGCCCTAAAATTTTTATTATTTCATTGTATCCCTTTTGAATCATTATAGTTAAGAAATGTTTTTCCTCTTACTGTAGCGAATACTTAAAATTTACAATTTCATTTATTTGTATAGGATGATGCTGGCCGTATCCATCAAGTGTGGTATGATAACCCGCAGAGCATTTCTTTAAAGGCAGCATATATACAAAGGCGTGGCTTACGCGGCATTGGCATGTGGCATGCAAACTGTCTTGACTACTCTGGAGATGCTGTAGCCAAACAGCAAGCTGAAGAAATGTGGAAAGCCTTAAAACCAAAGCTATAAAAACATGAACATCTTTTGTCAAACTATTAAGACTTAGAATATTATCTGTATAATCAGACCTAATTTCTTGAGGAGATAAAAGAATGTATACATTTTTGTCATGTTGCTATATATTATAGTTATTAGTATATTCAAAAACAAATAAAAAGATTATTTGCTTGAATTTGAAAGAGATGGATGGATGCATAGACAGATAAATAATCTTAGTGTCCAGAAACACAGGTAAATAACAACTCAACGTATTATATTAAATATTCCTCTATAAGATGTTTTAATACTATAAGTAGGAACACTTGCTTTGAGAATTTTATTATGCTAATTTTCCCCATGATATTAAAATATATACCTAAAAATTAATACTAATTTTAAAAATATGTATAATGAAGTGCAAATTCTTTTCTTAGAATAGATTTTTTAAAACCTAGTCTTTGAAAATCAGTTTGTTCTGTATTTTTGTGTGTGTGGGGGGGGTGGGCGAGGAGGTAAATCTAAATTTAAAACCTGCCATTTAGTGTCTCCTCTTGAGGTTAATCGAGCCCCTGGAGTAATTTTTTGCTCCCTGACTGTATAGTACTCATATTCTCTTGAATTAAAGTCACTTAAACCTCCAGAGGAAAAAGAAAAAAGAGAATATAAGGATTAAAATACTCATAAAATACAAAAAGCTAAATTAGTAGGTTAGAGCTACCTAATATTTTCCAATAAATTCTTTCTCATGCGGTCATATCTCACATTTTAAAATAGGAAAAGATTGCTGTTGAACCTGATTCTATGTGGGATCATTTACACTAGTTCCTATTAATACTTCGATTAAAAGTCTTCATTCTTCGATGCCCCGCCCGAGCTGAGCTGCTGCTAAGCTGCCAATCAATAGGTAGCAGGATGGCTCAGCTTAAAAAAATAAAATAAAATAAAATAAAAAATAAATAAAAGTCTGCATTCTTGAACTCTACTTACATAAATCCTGCCTCCCCTGAACATTCCCCCCTCACCCCAAATTGAAATAAATGATGATTCAGTCATCTGTTAATTACTGGGTTGTCAGAAAAGTCATAACGTATTTTTTTCTGTTTTTCATCGCAAAAATGCATGACTTTTCCGACAACCCAATAGAATATTTCATTTCATACTTACACAATTATTCATGGCATCGTAAAGCCAACCATTTTCCATATATTTTCTGAATTTCTAAAGTCTTTGTATTTCTAAAATAAATTACTAGGCCTGCCAAGTGGCTCAGTTGGTTAACAGTGCGAGCTCTGAGCAATAGGGTTGCTGGTTCGATTCTCACATGGTCTAGTGAGCTGTGCCCAAGTTGAGCTGCTGCTTAGCTGCCGCTGAGCTGGTGAGAGCATGTGCTCTTAGCAGCAATGTTGCCAGTTTGACACCCATATGGAAGGGTGGGCTGTGCATCCCACCCCCACCCCACCCCTGCAACTAACATTGAACACAGCACCTTGAACTGAGTAGCCACAAGCAGCTGATGGGCAGATGGACGGCCATGGCTCAGTGTGCAACAAGGTTGCCGGTTCGACTCCCCACACCCATCCCCCAACTAGATTGAAAGTGGTGACTGGACTTGGAGCTGAGCTACGCCCTCCACAACTAAGATTGAAGGACAACAACTTGACTTGGAGCTGATGGGTCCTGGAAAAAAACAATGTTCCCCTTCCCCAATTCCTCAACACTGTTCCCGTCCCCAATTCCCCAATAAAAATCTTAAAAAAAAAAAAGATAGAAAGAAACAACACCAGGAGGCTGAAGGAAAAGGATTCAAAAATAAAAAATAAAATAAAATAAAATAAATTACTAAAAAACTTAAATTCTTAGACACTAAACTCTATCATAGCTCTGTACGCAAGTTCAGTATCTCTATTCTTTTATAGTCCTAGATTGTTTTAATTAAAATACAATGACCGATTGAAATGTCTATTTACATGCAAATACAGAGGGTGCCAAAAAAATGTATACACATTTTAAGAAAGGAAAAAAAACCGGCCGGCTGAGTGGCGCGATGGTTAAGAACTCGCTTGGGATGCCAGATAGCCCCGGTTCGGATCCCACATATGAGGGCCAGTGACACTGCCCTCCACAGCTAAGATGCTGAACAACAGCTCAACCTGGAGCTGAGCTGCCGTGAGTCACCGGCGACGGTGTAGGCTGCAGTCCCTGTGGCAGTGGGTTGCCATGGGCTACCGTATGTAGCCAGCAGCCAGCGT